TGAGCCTGGGCGGTGCGGGGACTGTGTGGCCTTCTGGAGGGTTCCAGGAAGCGGTGCTGGTCCCGGGAAGCAGGTTGGGCGATGCCAGCGGGAAGCCCGGCCCCAGGTTGTGTGCGGAGATTCACCCGGAAGGTTATTGGACGCTGTGGAAGGGAGCCCTGGCGCTGTGGGAGCCTCTTAGATAATCAGGCCTCCGCACTAGCTGATCCACGGGCCTGGAAAGCTCTTCCCTGCCCCTCGCAAAGCTGCTTCTCTCCTGTCCTTCAGGCCCTTCCTCGGAGGTTTCCCTGACTTTCCGAAAGGAGGCTCCTGGTTTTATAATAACGTGTCACCTGCCTCCTAAGGATGTTGTCAGTATAAAGTGAGATCATCAGGCTCCAGGAACAGGGCCCTGCACAAATGAGAACCCAGAACATGTAGTGGTTATTGCTGCGTGTACTTTGCCCATAAGTTCACTGTCTCTCTCCCTTTGTTGGATCCTCAAGGCCAATTACCAGTGCTTGCCATGCAGCAGAAGCTCAACAAATGTCAGATGTGCGAGTGAGTGGACGAAATGAACTTCCGGAATCCCAGGCAGACGCTGGCACTGCCTGGTCATCGGGCATCCGAGAGGTGGCTGTCTGTGTTGGGGGGGAGTTTCTCCCCGTAACCTGTACTCCCCTGGTGAGGTCAGGGAAGCTCCCAAATTCACCCTCCTAGACCTTCAAAGCTCAGGATGGAGAGGGAGAGGTGCGCTCCTGGGCCTTGGCACATGCCAGTCCTCACCCCCAACCTCGTTCACATTTATGTGTACATAATGTGAAGTTCAAGACCTTTCCTGCCCTGACTGGTTTGGCTCAGTGGATAGAGCATCGGCCTGCGGACTCAAGGGTCCCAGGTTCGACTCCAGTCAAGGGCATGTATCTTGGTTGCGGGCACATCCCCAGTGGGGAGTGTGCAGGAGGCAGCTGATCGATGTTTCTAACTCTCTATCCTTCTCCCTTCCTCTCTGTAAAAAATCAATAAAATATATATATATATATATTTTAAAAGTATTTAAAAAAAAAAAAAAGACCTTTCCCATTCCTCCCTTGTCCTGCCCAACCCTCTCCATGATTCTCCTGATCATCTACCTCCTCGAATTAGAGCTCTGGCCAGATTTATTGTAGGTATGTGCTTAGGGGGTCTTCTTTCCCACCGGACGGGGCCACCACTGAGTCCTTTTTCTCTTTGTGGCAAGACTCCTGGGGTAGAAATAAACTGGGTTTGTTGTAGTGACAGAAGGAAAACCAGAGAGACTGGGGACTAAAGGACAAGGGGAGGGAGGATAGAGTTGAATTAAAGAAGTGGGCAGAGGCTGGAATGTGCAGATCTTACGGACCACAGAAAAGGGGGTATGTTTTGTCCCTCGTGCAGGGGCAGTCGTTGGTAGTGGGGTTAGATTTAGGCCTGTAAAAACTCTGGCTAGATGAGAGGCAGGGAGCCCCATGGAGAGCCAGGTCCAGGTGGCAGCACCAGCTGGGAGGTGATGGGACTCAGATAGAGTTCAGTAGGGCACAGTCGAAAGATCATACCAGGTATGATCTGGATGACAGCGTGTGTATACGTGTGTGGGGGTGGGGGGAGGCAGCGAGGGAAGAAAGGAATCCAGGGTGACGCCTGAGTTTCTGGAAGATGGAGGAGCCACGACTGAAATGGGGAGGCGGGCGAGGAGCAGGTTGGACAGGGGCTGTGTGGTGGGAGCAAGAGCTCAGTGTGGGACGCTTTAAGTTGCAATACCTATTAGTCATCCAGGGGAGCTGCCAAGTAATGATGTGTCTGCGGGTCTGCCAGCTGGACCGAGACGGGCTTCCACTCCTCTTTCACTATCACTATCCCCAACGGAGGCTGGCAGTCCGAGCCCTGGACAAAGGTTTGTTGAGAGAAGGAATGACTGAAGCCAACCCGAAAGCCAAGTTTACAATCGACCTTCCCTCAACCACCAGAGGGCAGCACCATCCAAAACACAGCCTCCCCCAGATCGGAAACTGGCACTACCTCCTAGAAGCCAAGGACTCACCCTGACCTCTTCCCACTTTCCAGGGCCTAGGAATCAATGAGAGGCTCCCTGGAGACTGGCTCTCTTGTAGGACCCTGGTTTAGGCCTGCGGGGGCTGCAGATTGAGCTGTGGATGGGAGGGCAACCTGGGTTTTCAGGTGGTGGGGGAGGGAGGGCCACCTCCCGGAGCAGGATGGTTGGCATTTGAGAACCCACAGGGACTGTGGTCTGACAGGTTCATCAGGAAGAATTTTTTTTTTAAATAGTCACCCTCTAAATCGATTTTAGAGAGAAATAGGAAAGGGAGAGAGAGAGAAACATCGATTGGTGGCCTCCTCTCCATACCCCGATTGGGATCAAACCTGGAACCTTTTGGTGTGTGGGACAATGCTCCAACCAAAGGAGCCACCCAGCCAAACCAGGAAGAATTTTTAAAATTGGGGTTGCTCCAGAAAACCTAGGCCAGTGTGTGTCTATAGCTAGAGTGCCAAGGAATTGGAGAGGGGTGGGAGGGAGGGAGGTTAGAGACTTCCTGCTGTGGCATTCCGCGTGCCTCTGGCTCTGTTCTGCTCCAAATTCCATGTGCCACCTTGGCCTGAGGAGCTCAGCCACTCGTTCATCATACATTGATTAGTCTTTTCTGTGTCAGCCCCTGTGGTGGGCACTGGGAGCAAGAGATAAACTGGCAATATCAGTTACAGCTGCAGATGGTATATATTCCATTTTTTTCATACATTAGCATTTCCAGCATCAGGATACATTTTCCAATTAATGCAAACATTTAAAAAATATATTTTTATTGATTTCAGCGATGAAGGGAGAAGGAGAGAGAAATAGAAACATCAAAATGAGGGAGAATCATTGATGGGCTGCCTTCTGCATACCCCCCCACTGGGGATGGAGCCTGTAACCCAGGCATGTGCCCTGACAAAATCAAACCATGACCTCCTGGTTTTTAGGTCGACGTTCAACCACTGAGCCACGCCAGCCGGACCCAATTGATGCAAACATTTAATAAAGCTTCACACACACACTGTAAAAAACATGACATGGAAAAAATATAGTGACATTATGCATCTTGCAATTGATGATGTTTTCAAATCAAGGAACTAAGTGGTAAGTGCAGAATCAGAGCTGTGCAGAGTGGGGGGTTGGGCTACCCGGAGAAGATGGGTCTTAAAGGGTGAGCAGGAGTTCACCAGAGATGAGGACACAGAGGGCTTTCGGGCACAAGGGAGAGCAAATGCACAGAGGTGAGAACTGAGGGCTAGGCTGGCAGAGGACCCCTGATGCAGAGGATGGTGGCAACACAAGCTGGAGAGGGGAACTGGGCACAGTCGTCTAAGACCTTGACTTGCAGGTTGAGGAACTCGTTCACCGGATTTGTTTTGGGCAGAGTGGGTGGGAGCCTGGAGCTCCCTCTGGCCTGGAGTGCGGTGTCTGGGTGCTCACCAGGCAGTAGCTCCGTCAGAACTAGATTTGGAAGAGGCACCTCTGGTCCGGGCCGGCATCAGGGCAGCAGCCAGGAGGCTCCTGAGAAGCAGACAGATTAGAGAAGGTTCTCAAGAGGCCAAACCAGAGGGTGTGGCACTAAACTAGATTAGGACAGGGGCAGAGGGCGGAGTCAAGGCTGATGACTGGAGTCCTGGTTTGGGTATCTGGGTGGATGGTGGTGCTACCCACACAGAAGTGACCTGGCCTCTGACATGCTGATTCCAAGGTCTGCGGAGGCTGATCTCGGGATGTAGCCTGAGAGGTGCCCAGGGAGGGCCTCTCTGCCTTACAAAAGGGTCCTGGTTACTGTGCCCAGGATGGGAAAGGACCTTGTCATTTTGGAAAGCAGAGGCTCTAAAGAGGAACATGTTGAGATAGTGGTGCTGCTTTGAAACACATAGATCGCCCCCCACAACCCCTTGTGCTCTCAGCAGAGTGAGTTTCCCTTGCCAGGCAGCACGGAGACCCTGTGCCCTCCCAGGATGAGAGATTGGATCCCATGTTGTGGAATTACGATGATTCCATCATGAATCTGTCACTGGGTTGGGTGTGAGGGACCTGTGTCTACAAACTGGTCCCGGGGGGGCAAGGGCTGGTGCAGTGTCCTTGGTCTGGAGCAGGAGTCCTGAAGCCAGGATTGGTTCTGGAGCAGGAAGGGTGGGGGTGGGGAACGGGCCCAGGAAGCACAGCTGTCAGGTCCCAGGTTCCTGGCGACCTGTTACGGTTCTAAGTCCAGTCTGGGTTCTGGTTGGATGTCCTGGTCCTGGGTTTGTGTCCAGATTTCTTGGTGGTGGGTCTAGAACCCTAGTTTGGTGCTGATGGTCCAAGACGCAGCCTAGGCTCTGCCCCCAAGTTCAGGGTCCAGGGTCATGACAGCAATCTGGTTTTGGGGTCGGAATCAAGGTTGGGGGTCAGCAACCAAGATGAGATTGTGCCCTTGATCAGCGTTTGAGATCAAGACCCAAAATCTAGCTGTGGGGTCCTGTTGGGGACCTGGGGTCTGGGGTCAGGGTCAGGGTCAGGGTCTGGGTGTGGAGCGGAGGGACCGGGTTGTGATCCAAGGTCATGGTGAGGTTCTGGGGTCTGGGTCAGGGTCCCAGGTCTGGGTCTGGCGTTCTGATCAGAGGCTCGGGTCACAATGTTATCCGGGTCTGGTGTCGTCAGGTCCAAGATCAGGGAGGAGGGCGTTCTAGTCGGGTCCCTGCGACCATGTTCTCCAGTGCCCGTCTCGGGCGGGGACGTGGTCTTGCAGGGCCTGGGATCCGCCCGGTGGTCGGACTGGGAGTCGGGGTCCGGGTCCAGCGTTTCCCTCTGCTGTGCTCCAGGCCTGGGGTCCGGGCGGGCGCCGGCTTCGGAGACGGGGTCCGGGTGGCCGCGGGGGTCAAGCCGGGCGCAGCCCGCGCGGCCTGCAGGGGGCGCCGCCGCCCGCCCGGCCCCTCGCGGGCTCGCTGGCGCTGTGCGCGGCAGGCGGGGCCGGAGGCGGCGGCGGCGGCTCCGGGGCGCGGGCGGCGACGGTGGCGGCGGCCCGACTGCAGTCCCGGCGGGAGCGGAGCGAGCCGGGGCCGGGCCCGAGCCGGCGCCATGGGGCGGCGCCGCCAGTGAGCCGCGGCGAGCGGAGCCGCGGGCGCCGAGCGGGGCCGGGCGGGCGGCGGCGCCCGAGGCCGACGGAGCGGCCGGGCCGGGCCGAGCGCGCCGAGCCGAGCGGAGCGGAGCCGAGCGGCGGGAGAGGCCGCCGCCGCCGCCAAGATGGCGGACCTGGAGGCGGTGCTGGCCGACGTGAGCTACCTGATGGCCATGGAGAAGAGCAAGGCCACGCCGGCCGCGCGCGCCTCCAAGAAGATCCTGCTGCCCGAGCCCAGGTGAGGCCCCGGCGCCGGACCCCGCCGCCCGCGCCCAGCCCCGCGCACCTGAACCCGGGGCGCCCCACGCCGGGGCTCCCCAGCCGCAGGGGCTCCCCGAGCGGCTCCGTGCCCCTGCCCCGCGCGGCCCCTGCCCGGCCCTCGGCTCTGCCTTCTCCGCCAGGAGCCCGAGCCCCTCCATCCTCCTCCGGGCGGCGCTTGGTCCCTTCCCCGGCCCCTCCTCCGCCTCCCACCGTCCACCTGGCCTGACTCTGACCCATCCCCTTGCGGCCCCTGCAGCCCGGCTCCCCCGGGGGTTTCTCTGCCTCCGCTCCCAGCCCCTCTGGTCAACACTGTGTGAGGTTTGGGGGAGGCAAAAGTCTCCCCCACCGGCTGAGGGGCCGCTGGCTTGGGATGGGGTTGGAGAGCGCTTTGGGGTCGGGGTGGCGGGGAGCAGGGTGTGGTGTGTGCCCCATCCCGGTGGAGGGGACACCGCCAGCCCCTTTCCCCTACATTCCACCTCGGGTGGGCCCCGCACATGGGCCCTGCAGTGCTGTTTGCTGGGGGACCTCCCAGCACCCCTGCAGCAGCTGGACCACGGCTGCCACCTCTCTGTGAGACGGCTGATGCCATTGCACCTGGTATCAAAGTTTAGACTGCGTGCAGGATGTAGGTGCAGGAGTATACAGGATACGGACGACAGCTGGGGCTTTTTATGGTTTCTAGAGTCTTTTTTCATTGTTTGAGCCTGGTGGCCGCCCATGGGCAGGTAGAACGGGTGTGGTTTGGGCCCCATGGAACAGGTGGGGGAGCTGAGTGCCTGCCCAGTGTCACAGGTAATCGGGGTGGTGCCTTGCCACCAGATCAGGGCTTCCGGCTTCTAGTTCCACATTTCTGCCACCGCGCCAGCCTGAGCCAGGACCTGGCCTTTCTGAGTCTGTGAGAGCCGCGTGCCCACAACCGTTCCTCGAATTACCTGGCAAGGCCAGTCCCAGCAACTCCTCCATACCTGCCTGAGAGAGGTGGCATGTTGGGGACCGCCAGCCCAGGAGCCTGGGCCTGTCCTGGCTGTTGTGGTGTTATCATGTGACTTTGGGCAAGTCCCTTCTGGTTTCTGGGCCTCGGTTTTCTCATCTGTGAAATGTGGATGGTGTGAAGCGAGGCTGTGACTGCAGTGTCCCGAGTCTTTGAAGCAGGGCCGAAAGCTGCAAGGGCTGCCATGCTGCAGTCTCCGGCGTCTCCCACAGGGCCCTGCTCACTGGGTTTCGGATTGACTGAACACCGGGCCTGGGCGAGGAAAATTGGTCTGCAGTTTGAAAAGGCCGTTAGGGCCCTTTTTTTCTAGACATTTGCAATCAGATTTCTCAAAACAGGAACCAGACTGACTGTCAGCTGGGGGCTGTCCGGGGAGCAGTGACAGTTAGAACAAAAAGGAGTTCAGAAATGACAAAGCCATGAGGGAGGAAATGGGGGAGTCAGCCTCTGGGGCTTGCAACGGCTCGCCTGGGTGGCCAAGGCCCCAAGACCCTCCCGCAGGTTGGAGTTTTGCAAATGGCGAGGCGGGGCCCTTTCTGGAATTCTCTGCCTTTGGGTAATCTCTCCCCAGAATGCATTGCTCCTGGTGGGGCCCCACCTTGGGTTGGCTCTGCAGGTGTTAGCACCCAGAGAAACGAGATGTCCCTCTTTCCCCGGCCCCTTCACCATCTGTGGTGGTGATAGGGATAATGGTGGAAATTATAATAATTTATGATTTGTTTTGGCATCTGTCATCTCAGTTGATCCAAAAACCAACTTGTGAAGTTGACGAGGCCACGCCTTGCGTGTAGTAGCTGCACAAGAACGGTGAGCACCGCGCCGTGTCCAAAACCAGGATGGCTGGGCGTTGTAGGCAAACAGCAGAGCCCGAGAGCCAGGTGTCCTGGTTCTTGTCTAGGGTCACCATCTGGCAGCACACTGCCATGCAGGTTGCCCGCATCTGTGAGATGGACTAGAGGCTGTAAGCAGGGGCCACTGGTGAGCCGAGGCCAGGGCAGGGCCGGAGCTGCTCTGTGCTCCGAGGAGTCCAGGCCTCCTGCATTAGAGTGCACGCCAGCCTTTGCTTGAAGCTTCCCACACCCAGTGGGCCAGCTGCCTCCTGCCCTGGAAGGTCATTAGGACTGTATCTCTGTCTGGCATTTCCCAGTTTGCACAGTGCTTCGTACTCCATTTTATCCTTTTCATCACTGTGGGAGCAGGCACAGCAGGTGGTGTTCTGAGATCCTCCCATTTCATAGTTGGAGCAACTAAGGCTCACAGGGAGGAGGAGACTTGGTTACGGGGGAGCTGGAACCTGAACTCAGGCCCCTGGGCTCCCACGTGCTCCTCCCTGCTGCGGTTCCTCTGCACACCCCTCTACAGCTCTGCTCTCACCCGTCCACGTTTTGTGGAATGTGCCAGCCAGCACCCCTTCTCCAGGGAGCCGTGGGGCTGGGGGGGGGGGTGGCCTGGGAGCAGCAGGGCAGCCCCCAGCACCGTCAGCTGTCCTGGTTCGCTAGGCCCAGCCCACTCCCCATCGGCTGCCCTGGCAAAGCTAGTGCCTGGAGGAGGCAGTGCCATGTCTGGGGTCACATCGTCCCCCACACACAGGTCAGGGTCCAGAAGAAAGGCTGTGGTTTTTCCCATGACAACATGCCATTTGGAGTTGCTCCCACCTCGGGTGGGCTTCCTGCGGCTGGTGCCCAGGTTGTGGCTTGGCTGGGCAGAGGGTCTGTCGTCACAGCTCTGGCTTCTCAGGGTTGGGGAACTGGAGCTATTGGGCACAAGGCCACTTTGAGTTGGCATAGGGGTCTCCCCTCTGTCACCCTGTAGAATCCAAGAAAACAGACCCATTTCTCCTCTTTCTCACTGAAGGAAGTAGCTTTGTGTGGCTGGAAGACAGGAGACTCGGCCTCTAATCCTGCTGCAGGGCCAGGTTACATCCCTTATCCTGGCCGAGCCTGCCTCAGTTTCTGCCTCGGTAAAACGATGAACAGTGACCTTTCAGGGTCCACGGTCTGTTCCTCTCCCCGAAGGAGCTGCTGTCTCCCTTTCCAGCAGCGGCAGCAGCTCTGTAATTACTGCCATTTGCTTAATATGACCATGGAGGCCTTGTGTAATTAATCTCTGGGCTCCTGCTGAGGAGCCCGTCTTGGGCCGTCCCGGAGGGACCCCTGCCCTCCCTGGGGGCAGCACAGCCCCAGCAGTGGATTGTCAGAGCCGGTGCCTCTTGCAGCCTCGCATTTTCTCGCTCCTTCCTGGTGCCTCCCCCACCGTGGATTTCCTTCTTCCTGCCCCTCTCCTGGTCTCCCTGTCTCCCGGACCCACCACTCAGCCTCCAGAACTTCCTGCCCTTGATTTGTGGGGGATGGGGTGCAGGGGAAGGTTTTCTCCCCTCCTAATCCCTCCCCTTCTTTACCACCAGCCTTTATTCCTTATCCAGAACTTTCCATTCCAGTAGCAGTCACTCCCTCTGGGCCTCTGAAGCCCCTTGTTCCCCAGGAATCGGTCTCCGGCCTGTCTTTTCCCATCTGTTCTCCTTTCCCAATCACTGGGTTTCACATGTCTGCCATGAAGTTGCTCGCCTGCCTGTTTACCGAGGAATTTGAGGGAACATGAGCCACAGGCCGGAATCCGTGCAGGGGATTCTGGGCTCTGTCATCCCGGGAATAATGTATCCTATTAACGCAGGATCAGTTCCTGGTAGTAAGTTCCCAGTGATGTCGGATGTAGGCACAGCCTGCAGCCAGCGGCCCGCCACCCCCAGCAGGCGCCCAGGTCAGCTTTGCAGGCGGGCCAAGTGCTTGCAGGACGTGATGCTTCCTGGGCATGGTGCTCCTGCCTTGGACCAAACAGAAGCCACGAACCCAACAGTCTTTGGGGAATGCACAGCCTCCATCACACCTGCCCTTCCTTCCTGTGGCCACTCCCCACTCTCCTGTGGCCCCGAGGGACCGAGTCCTCCGCTCCCTCATCACAGAAGATGGAGTCACTCACGTTATTGCTGCGCTGTTTCGAACAGGAGATGCTAACACTGAGGTGCTGAGCAGCAGCTTTTTCTAAGACGGCGGAAGAGCAGGGTTTCGGGGGGGCCTCTGGTGTTAACGTGTGAGCAGCTTTATTCTCGGGGGAGCCATCCTGGGTGCGGGAGGGGTCAGCCCCTCCTGGGAACCTCGGCACAGCGCCCTGGAAGTTTGTTCTTGCTGCATTCTAACTCGGCGGCAGTGAACGCAGGGTGTGGTGCTAGGGTCATATTCGTGTAGAAGCCGTGACGTGACAAGGCCGCCAGAGTGCCTCTCCTGCACACCCCACAGGGAGCCCCTTTGCGGCCACCGTGCCCTTGGGAGCCTGGGTTGCTGTGGACATTTGCAGGGGCTTGTGTGTGTGGTGCCCAGTGGGCATCGTTTTCCCTCCCACCGCCAGGGCTTGCTGCGCAGCTGGCCGATTCAGTGAGTCTCTCCCATTTCCTACGTGCCCCGTCCTCGGGCTGCGAGGACATTGTCCGCCTGAGGGAGAGTCATTGAGAAATATTAATCAGAAGCCCAGGGGACTTCCTCCTGCCACTGCCACCGCGGTGCCAGGTTTCCTGGAAATGCCACAGAGGAGTGCCTTAGCCTCCGCTCTGCTGGCTTGTTAACGGTCACCTCCCAGAGCATGGCAGTTCCGGCGTGGCTGCACTGGACCTGCCAGTCCCTGGCGCCCGTGCCAGCTTGCATTGTCCTGGGATTTCAAGGCTCACACGGGCACAGGAACTGTGGTCCCTGGCCTGCCAGGTGCCAGCCAGAGCTGCCTCCAGCCTGATGGGTTCCCAGGGGAGATGCCGCCTGCTGTCCGCAGTCACTGGCAGGGAGTGGAGGGGAAGGCAGCCAGGCCATGAGCCAGGGACCCCGAGACCCCGCACCCCGCTCTTCCACAGAGGTTAAGGGGGGCTCCCGCTGGTGGGAGGCCCTTTCTCAGGGAGGGTTGGATGTTCTCTTGCCACTAACGTGTGTGGGACTCTGCCCAGCTTCTTTCAGCCTTGATCTCACCATCAGAATGGGTGTTTGCCTCTGACCCCTGCAGCCCCTCCCAGTCCACAGAGGCTCCTGCCTGTGGCCCTGAGTAGGAGTCACTGATGAGGGGCCAGGCCACTGCGCCACAGAGTGAGGGCCTCGGCTTTTCCTGTGAACCACGTGGTGCCAGAAGGTTCCGGAAGTTCTCACCCGCTCCCTGCCTGCTGTTCTGTCACCCCAACCCTGACTCTGGGCTGAGAGGGAGGAAGTGCTCCCCCCCTCCCGCCCCCTCATGCGTGTCAGACTGGACCTGCTCCTTGGGGCAGCTGGAGCCGGTGTGAGCAGCCCTGGCTGCAGGTGGCAGTGCCATGCATCCAGGCCGGCAGCTCCCTGCTGTGGTGATGTGGGCCCCTTGCTGAGGGCCCCCCAATACTTTGGCAGGGCAGGTGTTGGGCTCTGCCCGAGGCCCCAGGCTGAGCAGCACGAGTGAATGAGGCTGATCTGTGAGCAGAGCGGCGTGGGCTCCTGGTCAGGGCTCACCTGTTAGGAGGCCGCCTGGCCACAGGCCTCAGTCTCCGAGATCATGGCAGGTGTGGGACAGAGACCTGAACCAGACTGCAGCTTATGGTCACAGTAGAAGGAGGTGCAGGCTGTAGGATCCATTTATTTATTTGTTTGTATTTTTATTACTTTTGAGAGAGAAAGAGAAATATGATTGGCTGCCTCCTGCAACCGCCCCCTCCCTCCCCCCCCCTTACTGGAGATCGAGCCTGTAACCCAGGCATGTCCCCTGACTGGGAATTGAACCAGCGACCTTTCAGTGCAGGGGAGACGCCCAGTGAACTGCGCCACACCGGCCGGGGCCTCTCAGGCTTCTTAAATGGCCAGTGCTGTGGTGACAGTTCAGCATTTTGTTGACATCCTCATTTTACAAATGAGGAAACTGGACATCTGAAGTGGGTGACTTGGCCTGGCCTCCGGGGAGGGCAGCGGGAGAGCCATTGGGAACCCAGACCTGGGCGCCCCTTGATTGGGAGCCTCAGGCAAACTCTGGCAGGAAAGATGCAGGCACTTGGCCCTCTTAACAGCCCAGGGTTGATGTGGGAGCCACGCGCTCCTGGATATGGGGGTTGCTGACTGGGGCAGGGGCAGGAATGCTGCCCTGGGCTCCCCGCCACTCAGACTCCTCCAGGATCGGGGAGCGGGGGTTGGACACAAAGGTGGCCCAGCCCAGGAGGCCATCACCACCTCCCGTGCCAGCCTGGACTTGCCACCCTGGCGGGAGTGTCCCCGTGACACGTTTTTGTGACCTGCCAGCCCCTTCAGCCGGCCCCGTGGGAATGGACAGGAAACCCTAACGCTGTCGCTGGGGGGGCCTTCCCTTCGAGGGCTCTGCCCGAGTCTGACCTTGTGTTTGGTTGGGGGCCGTGTTTGTTTTATTGAGAAAACATTTTTTTCTTTTTAAGGAAGAAAGTGAAGTGCTGTGGGCCGGGAAGAATGCTGTGGCCTCCCGTGCAGCTTCTGGGGGAGGGCGGGGTCTGGCCTCGAGGCAGCCGGAGCCGAGCTGGGGCCGCTTTGCTGTCCGGGCTGAGGTGACAGCACGAGGTGGGGAAGGTGACAGCGGGAGGTGGGGAAGGTGACAGCGCGAGGTGGGGAGGCTCTGCTGCCGTGGCCGGTCCTCTCTGGTGGGCGGCGCTCCGACGGTGTGACTCCCGGGGCGACCGCGGTGTCGAGGTGTCGGTTCTCAGCTGCCCTGCAGGGCCGTCGGGTCACGTGGCAGGACGGCTCCCCGTGGGCATTCCCGTGTCGTCCGTCTCCGTCACTGAACCAGTGCCGGTCTTGCTGGTTCTCATAAAGGGAGCTTGGGGCTTGGGGGGCTTCCCAGTGATGACTGCAGGAGCCATGTTGGGGTCATCCAGACAGGCTGGGGTCATCCTGTGTGTCGTCCGCATCACCTGTCTGGACGCTCACCTGAGCACACCTGACCACCATGTCAGTGTCCACCTCCAAGGAGGATGGACATGTTTTCCATTTGTTTTTCCCCGATTGCTTTCTCGCTTCCTCTGCCACAGGAATGGGGTGCAGATGTGAAGAGCCCGGGGCTGAGAATGAGGGCCCCGCCTTCCTGGTCCCTCTCACGGGAGAAACCCAGGCACTCGGCCATTGCGGAGTTCCTGGGCTCCTGCCCCTAACTCCTGGCTGCCTGGTCTTGCCACCTGCCGAGCCTTCGCTGCCTCGCCTGGGCCCCTCGCACTCCACTCGGCCCAGCATCTCGCCCCCCACCCTCCCCCCAGCTGTCCCAGTGTCTGGACAGGAGGTGCCAAGCTGTGTGCTCCCGTCAGCTCCGCGTGTTCCCATGTTCTCTTGCATGGCTTTTCCTTGAGTGGATGGAACGTGAGCAAAGGCCGAGGAAGGCTGGGGCCTGGGCTTCCCCTGAGACCATCAGAGGGAAAACGCTGAGTGGAAAGGGCAGGAGTCCCCTTCCTTCAGGCCCAGGCCCAGAGGCTGAGCAGGGTCCGCCGGTACACTGGCCTTGCCAACCCTTCTTCCATCCGTCCGACGGCCTGAGCCTCCCCCCACCCTGTTTCCTTCCCTCCTTCCTGGCCCCGTCGTCAGATACTGGGCTTCCTCCAGTGGGTGCCCCAGTGGAGGCTGCCTGCTCACTCCCTGCCCTTGACCGAGCTTTCTCCGTGTCCTTCCTGCTCATCCCGGCCTGGCCTTCCCCTGGGCTACCCACCTGCCCTGGGCTTCACCACCTGTTGACATCCTGTTTGCGCTTGAGGAACCCACTGAAGTTCCGCCTTCTCCACACAGCCTTCCCTTTCCGAGTCTCCTTGAACCGGCTGGGTCCCACGCAGGCTTTGTCACACTCTGTCTAATGTCATAGAACCAGGCTTGTGTCCTGGGAGGGGTGCATGGCACCTCGCCTTCCAGTAGGTGATGTACAGCAGGCCCCCGTGGCCAGGGCCCCGTGCTGAGCTCTAAGAAGGACACAGAGAGGTGAGGGCACAGCCTGGACTTTGCGGCCCAAGCTCTTACCAGCTGCAGTCTCTCTATTAGTGGCCTGCTGGTGGCCCCGCATCCCCTAAGGGTCACGTGCGCCTTGCATGGCCTTCGGTGCGACTGCCAGCACGGCCCTCAGTTCGGGCAGCGAAGTGTGTTCCTCGGGATCCTGGGCTAGTGAGGGCCCGACATGACCACAGCGGCCGTTGTGACAGGCAGGCTGCAGGGATGGACTGCAGGTGGCCCAGGAGGGGCGGAGGGGACAGACGGTGTGTCTGAGGCTTGAAGTGCAGTGTCGCTCTCCCAGACGGTGCGTGATGTCGGGGGGTGAGGTGAACAGGGGTATAGCGGGGGGTTGGCTTCTGTGTCAGAGTGGCCACCCCTCCCCTGCTGCAACCCAGGGACAGGTATTAGGGACATGGGAACTGAGGCTTGGCTTTTTCTTTTTTTAACCATTTTTAAAAATTGAAATATAATTCAAATAACATAAATTTATCATTTTAGCCCTGGCCAGTCGGTTGGCCATCATCCTGTGTACCTAAAGGTTGCTGGTTCGATTCCAGTCAGGGCACATGCCCAGGTTGCATGCCCAGTCCCTGGTGGTGGGGTGCAAGAGGCAGCTGATTGATGCTTCCCTCTCGAGTCTATGTTTCTCTCCTTCTCCCTTCCTCTCTCTAAAAATCAATAAAAATATTTTTTTAATTATCATTTTAAAGAGTACAGTTGAGTGGGTTTTAGTACATTCGCTATGTTGTGCAACCCTCACTACTACCTACTTCCAGAACATTTCCGTCACCCCCAAAAGAGACCCCATACCCTTAGCAGTCACCTCCCCTTTTCCTTCCCCAGCCCTTGGCAACCACTAATCTGCTTTCTGTCTCCGTGGATTTGTCTGTTCTTGACATTCATATAAACGGGGTCGTGGTCTTTTATGATTCTCTTCCTTCGCTTCGCAGAATGCTTTCAAGGCCCAGCATATTGTAACGTGTGTGGGTGTCACTACTGGTCCATCTGGCTGAGCAGTACGCATGCCATTGTGAGGACAGGACACGTTCTGGTGATCCATCACCTGCTGCTGGTTGGCCAAGACCCCAAAGCCAGCACAAGGCCATGCTGGGACCAAACTTCTCAGCAGCCACCTTCTGGCACCCTGGCTTTGGGGGACAGAGCCTTAGGGGCCAGGCCAGGGGTCCTCGGGTCCCTCTGGTGTGACCTTCCTAGAGGGAGCAGTGACACCCACCAGCAGTGCCCTCTGCTGACAGGCGTCACAGGTGCCCCAGGTCACACGGCCCCTCTGTCTTTCAGCATCCGCAGCGTCATGCAGAAGTACCTGGAGGACCGGGGTGAGGTGACCTTCGAGAAGATCTTCTCCCAGAAACTGGGTGAGTACAGTAGGGGCTCCGCCAGCCCCAGGGACTGGGGTGTGGAAACAGGAAGACCCTGAGGCTGGCTCCCCGGGCTTTTGCCTCCCATCCACTGGGGCCGGGCAGCCAGGGAGCCCCTGGGTGACAGCAGAGCTGTGACCCGCTGTGCCTCCCAGTCCCTGGCTGTCGGCCCAGGGAGCCCTGTGAAGGGGTGGGGGCCCAGCAGTCTTCCAGGGCCACCGGGGAAGTTCCTCCTTTGGGGTTTTTGTTTTTGAGAGTTGCAGCTTCCCCTTGGCGCAGGCACAGCTGCTCAGGGCCGTTGGTAGAACTGACAGGAAGGGGCGGGGCTCTTCCTGTGGCGCCTGCCTCGCTGTGGTCGGCTCACCCCGCCCCCATGGGCCCTCTTTGTGAGCAGCCCGCTTGGGCCTGGTCGTCTGTTCCTCCTCTTCCAGTGCCTGGCCTCAGAGTGGGGACCTGGCCTGAGGGCAGGTCGGGGCAGGTCTCAGGGAAGCAGGCTCCAGGCACACAGCTCGGATGGGGCGTCAGAGAACAGGATCTGAAACGGCAGTAGCCTGGCCTGGTGGGATCAGGCTTTGAGGTCAGGCTTGGGAGCCAGCTCCTCAGGCAGCACACAGCTTGGGTACCCTTGCCTGTGCTGTGTGACCTTGGGCACATTGTTTTACCTCTCTGAGCCTGCTGGCGTCCTCACCTGGGACCTACAACGCAGGAGCCCCACCTGTGGGAGGCCCGGAAGTGATAGTGCCAGTGAAAGCCCCACTGAGTTATTCAAAGGCACGATACTGATGGGCCAGGCCTCCCTACAAGAAGTGAGTCTGCACGCTCCAGAAGAGGTGCGAGGCAGTGAGGACAGTGCCCCCAAAGAGGCATAGAACACTCCCAAGTGCAAGATGCTCACCCAGGTTGGGGAGGAGGGTGCAGGGCATACTTCTCCTTTGCCCTCCAAGGTGGTCTGAGGCCAGGCCTCAGGCCCCTACTCCCTGGGAGGGTGAGACCTGGCCGCAGCCCATCTCATCTCTTCCCCCCGAGTAGCCCACGCCCTTCAAGGCCCCACTCCCCAGCCTTCCTTCACAGGACCTGCCACATGACACCTGCCTGGCAGACCTCCCTGAGCCTTAGTGTCCCCAGTGGGACCTCACCTCCCGTGTGCTGTGTCTCAGGGCTGCTGTGAGAATAAATCAGCAGACGATGGAGGGTTATGAGGTCCAGGGAGAGCAGGTGGCCCCTCGGGGGCTGCTTCCTCCCCCGTGCCGCGGCTCTGGCCTGGCCCAGGTGAACCTCGCTGCACCCGCACAGCTGCCCGGGGCCGGGTGTCACACTGTGGGAGGAGGTGTGGGTCCCTAGACTGCAGTGAGAGGGCAGGGGCCCACATGCCAGAGCCAGCCCCTGTCCTATGACTCACCAACGTGCTGGTCACTTTCCAGCCACCATCAGAGGAGGAGATCCTGAGAGGGTAGAAATGCAGGTGCCCTGACCCCAAATCCAAGAATCTTCCATTGGCAGCAGCCTTCGAGGCCATCTTGCCCGGTTCTGCCCAGGGAGCCCCAAGCCCACACCACCCTCCATGGTGGGAAGGCCTCTGAGATGGTGTGGCTCAGTGCGACCTGACGCTTGCTTTCAGGGTACCTGCTCTTTCGAGACTTCTGCCTGAAACACCTGGAGGAGGCCAAGCCCTTGGTGGAGTTCTACGAGGAGGTGAGCCGGCCCCTGCACTGCCTGGAGGAGGGGACGAGGTTGGGTTGCTTTTGCTGAATTTACAAGATGCTTGGCGCCTCTAGGCTCCCCTGAGCCAAAGGTTACCCTGGGGGATCTTGTCCTCTAGATCAAGAGATACGAGAAGCTGGAGACGGAGGAGGAGCGCCTGGCCTGCAGCCGGGAGATCTTCGACACCTACATCATGAAGGAGCTGCTGGCCTGCTCGCACGTGAGTGCCCGGACCTGCCTGCCGGCCCGGAGCGACCTGGGCATTGGGAACGGATGGAAGGGCCCTGCGGAGAGTTCACAGCCATCTCTGTCTTCCCCAGCCCTTCTCGAAAAGTGCCACTGAGCATGTCCAGGGCCACCTGGTGAAGAAGCAGGTGCCTCCAGATCTCTTCCAGGTGTGTGCTGACCTATCCCCCCGCCTCCCGGCCAGGCCAGGGTCCCCTCGGCCAGGTCAAGGAGCCTGATCAGCTCCCACTCGGGCCCAGTCGCCAACCTCTGCCTTCCTCCCTTAGCCGTACATCGAAGAGATTTGTCAGAACCTCCGAGGGGATGTGTTCCAGAAATTCATCGAGAGGTGAGAGTGGGTGCATGCAGAGGAGGAGAGGGAGGAAGAGGCTGTCCCGCGAAGGGTGTGGATGGCGTGGAGAGGAGCCAGCCTGCTTTAGGCCCTGGGCCGGGGGTGCCTGGGCCCGTCTACACCCCAGTGAAGAGAGTCCTCAGAGGTTAGGCAGGCCAGGTCATTGCCTGCCCACACTCCTGCCATCCTCAGCCCAAGCCTGTCCCAGGTGATTCTCCAGGGACCATGGGACCACCTGTGAGCCCTTCCCTCCCACGGACTGTTGAGCATCCTGCTGGGCCTACCTGGACTGAGAAGCGTGGGGGATGGTTTGGGTAGACACGAGAGGACACACCGCCCCAGCCCCCGCCCTCATGGCCAGAGCCCACCTGGTGGGTGGGAACTGTAGGCAGCTGTCAGCTTGATGGAAGGAGTAGCCATGGAGTGGGCCTCGCGGGGAGTGAGTGCTGTGTCACTGAGGCATGCAGCATTGTCAGCGATACGGCGGCAGGAAGTCTAAGGCTGGAAGACCTCCTTCTAACCTATCTGATCGCAGCAGGAACCTGCGTGTAGGTGGCCAGGCCCCGCTCAGGCTGGTGTTCCGGGCAGGGGCCCAGCTCAGGATGGCACTGCCCCTGGGCAGTTCTGGAGAGGACACTGAGGCTCAGGACCCAGGGAATGGCAGGGGGGTGGGGCGGCTCACACCTGGCATGATCCCATTTACTTTCTGAGGTTCCCTGAGCCCCGGTTCTTCTCTCACAGCGATAAATTCACACGGTTTTGCCAGTGGAAGAATGTGGAGCTCAACATCCACGTGAGTGGCCTGGGTGGGTGCGCGGGCTGGGCCCCAGGGCTGGTCCAGGGCTAGGCAGGTCAGCGAGTCTGCCAGCCTCTGGTGTGGTGGCTGTGGGTTCAGTGCCAGGCTCCCCGTGGGGGTGGCTCAGGCAGGTAGCATGTGAGGGTGGCCGTGGGCAAGGGGCCCAGGCAGCCTGCAGTGACCCCCGTTGTTGCCGCCCCTGCAGCTGACCATGAACGACTTCAGCGTGCACCGCATCATTGGTCGAGGAGGCTTCGGCGAGGTCTATGGGTGCCGGAAGGCCGACACGGGCAAGATGTTAGCGCACTCGAGGGAAGGGAGGGCCCCTGGGGGTGCCCTGAAGGCATGGGTGTCCATGGGAGAGCTGTGGGGGCATCAGTGTCCCAGGAGCCAGGTGACAGGGTCCTGAATGGGCAGGTCTCTGCAGGGGGACATAGGCTTGCTAGTCACTCCATGCCACTGCCTTTCTCCACACTCTTACCCCCTGAGCCTCCCACCCGTCAGCACTTTCTCTTGCCCTCTCTCTGTCTCTGTGTGTCATAAGCTTATTGTGGTGCCCAGAATTCCCCAAAAGGGCTCGGAGGACTCCCTGACCCCAACCCTGGGCCCCAGAGCAGCCTGGACTCTGCACGACAGCGCCTCTGGGCTGACTCAGTGGCCCCCTCCCCGCAGGTACGCCATGAAGTGTCTGGACAAGAAGCGCATCAAGATGAAGCAGGGGGAGACCCTGGCCCTGAACGAGCGCATCATGCTGTCCCTCGTCAGCACCGGGGTGAGCGGGTGGCCAGGTGGGCTGGCCACCAAGCAGCCTTGGGCTCTGGGACCTTTGGGCGGCTTCTGCTGACTTGCTGTCCTGTCCCCTCCCAGGACTGCCCATTCATCGTCTGCATGTCCTATGCCTTCCACACGCCAGACAAACTCAGCTTCATCCTCGATCTCATGAACGGTGAGTGCGTGGCCCGGCCCCAGGCGGACCAAGAGCTGGGCTGGGGGACTGGGACAGGGAGCTGAGCACTTCCTCCCTCAGGCGGGGACCTGCACTACCACCTGTCCCAGCACGGGGTCTTCTCCGAGGCCGACATGCGCTTCTACGCGGCCGAGATCATTCTGGGCTTGGAGCACATGCACAACCGCTTCGTCGTCTACAGGGACCTGAAGGTGAGCCGCCGGCCTGTCCCTCCTCTCGGTGCACCTGGCCCACTAGGCCATAGGCGTGGCGTGCCCGGGACAGGGCCAGCCGGCTCCTCCCCGCGGCGCCCTCCCGCCCAACAAGCCATTTTCTGAATTCAGATTGTGATTGAGGAGGGGAGGGGAGGACCCTGCCCAGGGCCTGGACACCCATAACCCTTGAGAGTGAAGGCAGCGACCCAGCTGGCACCTTGCCTGGCTGGGCCCTGTCCTGAGCTGTGGGGGGCAGCTTACTGGGATTCCTCCACAGCCGGCCAACATCCTGCTGGACGAGCATGGCCACGTGCGCATCTCAGACCTGGGCCTGGCCTGCGACTTCTCCAAGAAGAAGCCCCACGCCAGTGTGTGAGTGCCAGCCCGCACCCGCCCTTCCCAAACCCTCTGCCAAACCCACTCATGACCTCTGCTTCCACAGGGGCACCCATGGGTACATGGCCCCCGAGGTGCTGCAGAAGGGTGTGGCCTACGACAGCAGTGCGGACTGGTTCTCCCTGGGCTGCATGCTCTTCAAACTGCTGCGGGGGTGAGTGGGTCATCCCACATGGATGGGTGGGACCGGACAGAGCAGCTCTTCCCTGGTCCAGGTAGGAGGCCGGGGGAGGAGCCCACAGCCACCTGGGTGTTAGGTATGGCATCATCCCTGGCTTTGGATAAGGACCATGGATGCTCCTGCCTCAGTTTCCCCATTCCTGATCTGTGACTTCGGCCTTTGTCCTTTCCTGCCCAGGCACAGTCCCTTCCGGCAGCACAAGACCAAAGACAAGCATGAGATTGACCGCATGACATTGACAATGGTGAGTGTGGGGTTCCAGCCCAGGGTGCTGTATGGAGTCCATGGGGCCACAGTGGGGTTGGAGTCCCTCATGGGTATCAGGGTCATGGACTCTTGGTTCTCACCAGCAACGATCTTGGGCCACTCATCCCCACTCTGGCCTCCTGCCCTGTAGGAGCAAACATGCCCGCTGGGGGTGGGGGAATTAGGAAGCTGGGCCTGTTTCTCGCTCTACTGGGAGCCGGGGGCTCTTCTGTGGCCACTGCTGACATCTCACTCTCCCCGCAGGCTGTGGAGCTGCCCGACTCCTTCTCCCCCGAGCTCCGTTCCTTGCTGGAGGGGCTACTGCAGAGGGATGTCCACCGGAGACTGGGCTGCCTGGGCCGAGGGTGAGTGCCGGGACCAGGGCCTCTGTCCCAGGTCTTGCCTCCCAGCAAGGCCCTGAGCACTCGGCTTGCCCGGTGTCCAGTTCTCTGCTGTGGGCTGCTGGCCTCTGCCTGTTCCCCCCTGAGGACAAGGCTGTGTCCCCTCACTGGAACCAGCCTCCTTTGGGGAACTCGCAGGAGGTTGGGGCACAGCCAGCTCTGAGTCCAGTATCCCCCGGGTTGCAGCTGCTGGAGCTGGCTGGTGACTGGCTTCCGGAGGGGCCCTTGTAACAAAGACGGTGAGATCAGATGATGATGATGACAGCAGCTTTTTATGTTTATTAAACATTTACTAAGTGCCAGGCATGATGTTGCAAGACTTACAATATTAAAACTTACAACAGCCCTATGAGACGGGAACTGCTGTTCTCCCCACTGGAGATGAGGAAATAGGTTCAGGTTTAAGGAACTTGCCCAAGGTCGCAGAGCCAGAAAGTGGCCGAACCAGGAGTTAGTTGGGGCCACCTGCCCCGCACCCGGATAGAGCCCGGATGACCCACGTCTCCCCACAGGGCCCAGGAGGTGAAGGAGAGTCCCTTCTTCCGCTCCCTGGACTGGCAGATGGTCTTCTTGCAGAAGGTAACGGCAGGGGCCAGGGCCGGTGGTGCTCTGCAGTCCCTGCCCCGTGCTGACGCCCAGCCCTCGTTCTGCCGTAGTACCCTCCCCCGCTGATCCCCCCACGAGGGGAGGTGAACGCTGCTGATGCCTTCGACATTGGCTCCTTTGATGAGGAAGACACAAAAGGAATCAAGGTACTGGGCCTTGCACCTGAGCCCAGCCCCGGGCATCCACATCCCTTCTCTGCCCTGGGAGGCCCTTTGGCCAGTCCTGTCAGCTGTGGGCCCCAGGCTCCTTCCCCCAAATGCCCCTGGGGGTGCACCAGATCACCCTGCCCTAGCCCCTTGGGCGGGACATGCCCATGGTGATGGATGCCCCTGCCTCGTCCCCACGGCGCAGTTACTGGACAGCGACCAGGAACTCTACCGCAACTTCCCCCTCACCATCTCCGAGCGGTGGCAGCAAGAGGTGGCAGAGACTGTCTTTGACACCATCAATGCCGAGACAGACCGGCTAGAGACCCGAAAGAAAACCAAAAACAAGCAGCTGGGCCACGAGGAAGGTGAGGATCGGTGGCCGCCGTGGGTACCCACTGCCCACTGTATAGATGAGACACAGGCGTGGGTTTCAGGATCTCAGCCAAGGTCACAGCCGACCAGGATTCCCAACGGGGCGGGACCTCTCTCACTCTCTCACGGCAGACTACGCCCTGGGCAAGGACTGCATCATGCACGGCTACATGTCCAAGATGGGCAACCCCTTCCTGACTCAGTGGCAGCGGCGGTACTTCTACCTGTTCCCCAACCGGCTCGAGTGGCGGGGCGAGGGCGAGGCCCCGGTAAGGATGGGGCCGGGGGCGGGGGCCGGGCTGGCTGGGCCTGGCCTGTTCCCTCACCGCCCCTGTCCGTCCCTCCCTGCCCTGCAGCAGAGCCTGCTGACCATGGAGGAGATCCAGTCGGTGGAGGAAACGCAGATCAAGGAGCGAAAGTGCCTCCTCCTCAAGATCCGCGGTGGTAAACAGTTCGTCCTGCAGTGCGACGTGAGTGGGGAGTGGGGCCCGGCGGGCAGGGGCTTGTGGGGGCTGCGTGGCCTTCGGGGCACCCAGGCCTCACCTGCCCGACCCCCGGCATGTGCAGAGTGACCCGGAGCTGGTGCAGTGGAAGAAGGAGCTGCGTGACGCCTACCGTGAGGCCCAGCAGCTGGTGCAGCGGGTGCCCAAGATGAAGAACAAGGCCCGCTCGCCCGTGGTGGAGCTGAGCAAGGTGCCGCTGGTCCAGCGCGGCAGTGCCAATGGCCTCTGACCCCCCCACCCGCCCGCCCGCCTTTTATAAACCTCTAATTTATTTTGTCGAATTTTTATTATTTGTTTTCCCGCAAAGCGGAAAAGGTTTTATTTTGTAATTATTGTGATTTCCTGTGGCCCCAGACCCCAGGGAGGGGCCCGCTTGCCTTGGCTCCTGCTGCCACCAACCCAGCCACTGTCCAGCCACCCGTCAGCCCTGAAGCCCCAGGGATTACCTGCTCCCAGTGTCTTCCTGTGGAGGGGAGAGCAGCAGCCCCAGCAGTCCCCCGCCCCTTCCTGGGGGTAGTGCCACCTCCGGCTCCGGGCTGTGCTCTGTGCCAACAGCACGGTGGGGTGGCTCAGCACAGGAATGCTACCTGGATTTTTCCGCTTCGGCCCTCCTATGACAGAGACACAGCCCTGCACTGTCCTGCCTCCAGCCAGTTGGTGAGGAGGAGCCCGTGGTCCCCCTGACGCCAGCGCCGTCCAGTGATCTGGACTCCTGCACTCTCACTTGGGGGGCGCCCGTCACTGGCTGCCGCCGTTCCCACCTTCCCTGGGCACTGGGGCTCGGCCAGGAGGGTGGCGTTGGCAGCAGGTGCTGTTGCTGTCATGGCAGCCCCGCCCTTCCTCCCACTCCGAGCTCCCAGGCTCCAGGACCACAGAAAGGCAACCCTGGGCTGTGCCACCCTGGCCTAGCCTGGGCCTGAGGTCCCCAGCCCCTGCCCCCATCCGTACCGGGGCCTCGCCCTTGCCCCGTCACTCTGGACTGGGCAAGGCCTTGTCTGCCCAGGACCACAGGGGCCAGCCTGGGTGGACTGGGCTGCACAGCGAGAGGGGCCGCTTGGGCCAGCCCTCGCCACCCCAGGATCGTCAGTGTGCCCCATGGGCTGTCCAGCCCCCAGCCACATGTCCTGTCAGTGCCACTACCCACAGGGCGCCACCTCACCCGCCGCATGCCCCCTCGTGCCAGTCACGCTGCCATGTGTGGTGTCGCGCCTTCTTCCCCAAGGGCTGGGTTGGCTCAACCTCCCCTCCCATCTGCTCACTCCCTGGGGCATTTCTTTGCCGATTTTTGAATGTGATTTTAAAGTGAAAAAATGAGATTATGCGTTTTTATAAAAAAATGGTGCCTGACTTTGGCTGTGTCAGACTCTTTTGTGCCCAATGATCATTTTCAGCCACCCTTGGGCTGAGGCATGAGGGGAGAGGGTCGTGGTGGTGCCAGTCCCCTCCACCACCACGGCAGGCATCCAGGGCCAGCCTGCCCAGGCCCAAGTCCTCCCCCAGGGTGGGGTAGGAGCCTCCCTGCCCCTCCCCGGTCCCACCCTGGGGGAGCAGAGCGGGTCTTCCACCCCTGCCCCGGGAAGCAGGAGGAGGTATCTGAATTTCGCTTCTTGGTGTCACATTTGGACTGAATACCCCAGCCCACCAGGCACAGTGCTGAGGGCAGCACCATGGACAGACAAGCACCTCTGCCCTCAGGGCCACAGTGAGCCTCCGGGCCCTTGCCCTCTCCGGCTTTGGCCTCCCCTCTGGCCTTGTGCTGCACCCCGAGCAGCAGTCTGTGAGGCCTGAGGGACTCCCCAGAAACCCCAATGGGTGATGTCTGTTGCTGCCCACCCCATGTAAGGTCCTGCTGGGCAGTGTTGAGGGGCAACACGGCCAAAGCACAGCATGGCAGGCGGCGAAGGAAGGCTGCTGGGGTGGAGGCTGAGACTTGAAAAAGGCCTTTGAACGGGGCCTCCAGTGTGGAGGTGGGGAGGTGGGGGGATGTTTCTGATGCAGGGATGGGCCAGGCAGGCGGGAGTGGCTCCAGTTGGCAGGAGCACTGTGGGAAGGAGCCAGGCCTGGGGAGGCCCTGAATGCCAGGCTCAGCCTGGCTCAGAGCCCAGTGCGCACTTAGTGGCTACAGAACGAAGATGGGAATGGACGTGGAGTCTGAACTTGGATGGGCTGTGGTCGGGCTGGGGCGCTGGGAGCAGCTGTAGAACAAGTCACTGATTACCATGTGCAGGGGGAGTGGAGGGAGGCAGAGGATGGGAGGCAGGGAGACAGCTTAGGGCTGCTTCTGTCCAGGGAAGTGATGCCATAATGGCAGTGGTGGAGGTTGGATCTGGAAGAGATGCAAACAGGCCAGATGGGAAGAACAGGGCCCATCAGGAATGGGCAGGACTTGGGAGAGAGAGAGAGAGAGAGAGAGAGATGGAGTTCAAGATGGCACCCGGAGAGGTCTCTGGTGCCACTGGGAGTCATGACAGCCCGGGAGCACAGCAGGCCTGAGGGAAGAGGGTGAATGCGGCCAGATCTGGTGGCTGCCTCATCACCCAACCAGACCAGGACCAGACGCCAGGCCAAGGCAACAACGCCTGCGCTAGGCCAGGAGCCCTGCACCTTGGTTCCGTGTGGGTGAAGGGGCCGGCTCTGGTTTCGAAACTCTCCTTCCTCTCCCGACACTGGCAACGAAGGGCAGCCTCTGCAAAAGGGATCCACGCGGCGGGTCAAAGCCGCTCCCCGTGGACAGTCCTCCACCAGGAGTGGTCTAGAGCTACTCAGGCCTGCCCTCCCCACCCCCAGCACTCCTGTTACTGCTCCAGGGCCTGGGGGCCGCCCCCTGCATGGCCGGACCCAGTCCTGCGGTGCAGCCACCTCCAGACCCGGGCCCAGGTCCCTGCTTCACGCTCAGCTGGCCACCCTACAGTGGCCGGGGGTGGTAAGGCGGGAGCGGGAGGCGGGTGGGGGAAGGAAGGGGACCGGGCCCAGCAGGACTGCCGGCGAAATACGATAACCCACGCGTAGCATAAGGGCAGCCCGCTGCGCGCGCACGTCCCGGGGTCCCAGTCCCCGCCCCTCGCCGAGACGCCCCACCCCCGGGCGCCCTCCTTCCCCTGCGGGACCCGCCAGAAGGGGTCTACGCTGGGCTGGGGCGCCCCCTGCAGGCGGCGGGCGGAGCTGCAGCCAGGCCCCGCCTTCCGGACCGCCCTCCGCAGACCCTCTTTGCGCAGAGGCCGGACCGGGCTTCTCCCCGGCGCGCGCACTGGCCACCGGCGCCGGGCAGCGCGGCCGCCGGACCTCCGCGCGCGGGCTCGGCTGCGGTTGCCATGGCTGCGGGTGGCGAGGGGGCGCGCGGCCCGACGCCCCGCCCCGGCTCAGCCCCGCCCCCGGCCCGCCCTCCCCGCCACCTGCGCCGCCGCTGCTGCCACTGCCGCCACTGCCGCGGAGGCGCGGGGTCGGGGGCTGCGGTGGTGTCGCCGGGGCGCCGTGAGGACGCGAGGCGAGCGGGCCGCGCCAGGCTCCGAGCAGAGGCAGGACCGGGCCGCCCTCGCCACGCCCGCCCGCCCGCCCGCCCGGGATGCGGCGCTGAGGCCCAGCATGGCCGGCCCGGGCCCCACCTTCCCGCTGCACCGGCTCGTCTGGGCGAACCGGCACCGCGAACTGGAGGCCGCGCTGCACAGCCGCCAGGTGAGGCCCGCCGGGCACCCGGGCCGTCCTCGGGGCTCCGCACCCAAAGCCCTGGCCTCCATCCCGGAGGCCTCCCGTCCCCGCTCGGCGCCGCAGCCGCCTCCCTGCTCACCTTCCCCGGGGCCGATGGAAGCCCAGGTGACCTGCCCCTCTCGCTTGAGCCTCTGGGCTCGGCTCCCAGCGCCGAGCCTCGCCCGCCTCGCCCGCCTCGCCCGCCTCGCCCGTGTCCCCGCTCCGCACTGCACCCAGCCCCTCATCTCTCGCCACGGCCGCCCCTGAGCCAGGCTGAGATGGAGCAACCCGGTCCTGGTCCCCAGGCCGGCCCAAGGTCTTGACAGCCGCAGCTCTACCTCTGCCTGACCAGGCCCCCCACTGGGCCCACAGCTCTATCCCTGGCAAAGCACAGGAGAGGCGGGCAGGCCCTTCCCACCTGCCCTTTCCCGGTCCCTGCAGAGACAAGGAGGTGCGCCCTCTGCCATTTCCACCGCCTGTCCGCCTGCTTATTTCCCATATAGCGGCTCCCAGCGCCGTCCAGCCCAGTGGTCCTCTTGCCCCTGCCTCTCTCCCCTTGCCCCCTGCTGAGTGTCCCCTCTCCCCCAGCATGACATTGAACAGGAGGACCCCCGCGGGCGCACCCCGCTGGAGCTGGCCGTTTCCCTGGGGAACCTGGAGTCCGTGAGAGTCCTCCTCCGACACAATGCCAACGTGGGCAAAGAGAGCTGCCAGGGCTGGGCAGGTACTGCAGCGGGCAAACGGGCTTCCTTGAGGGTGACATGGGGTTGGTGAGTGACCAGACCTGGGGCCGTGGCGAGAGCACCCTTCAGCAGCTTGGTGACCCCAGTCCTGCAGGAGGCGGTCAGCACTGGGGACCCTGAGATGGTGCAAGTGGTGCTCCAGTACCGGGACTACCAGAGGGCCAAGCAGAGACTGGCTGGCATTCCGGAATTGCTCAACAAACTCCGCCAGGTACAGAGGACACAGAGGTGTGGCCAGTAAGAGGGGTGGAGAGCCATGGCAGGGGGCTGGCAGGCTGCATGGCGGTCACCGGGTCACACGTGCCTGGCCTGGCCTGGCCTGGGAAGGGCACCCAGCTTGTGCAGCATGCTTTCCCAACACTGCCGACGAAGTGCCTCTCTCTCTCTTTTTGTGTCTATCGAGATCTCTGATTATTTTTTATTTAAATTCTTTATTGTTTAAAGTATTACATATGTCTCCTTTTCCCCCCATTGACCTCTCCCCGGCCGCTCCCACTCCCCAGCGCATGCCCTCACCCCCGAAGTCCCTCTCTTATGACCCCAGCCCAGCGTCGCGGAGGAAAGAGAGGAGTACAGGCCCACAGGGACAAGAGCGGGTCTTTTGGAAGGAAAGCCCTTACCGGCATTAGGGTCTCCTACTGCCAGAAATCTCAGCAGAGCTTTAGACCATGGGCTCCCTGGTGAATGCAGATTTTTCTGGAGGGAGGATTTCATCCAACTCCACGGATGTGGCCTGCGCTTCTAGAATACCTGTCTGCCCTTCTCCAAGCACCCGGGGAGGAGGGGGGTTGAGGGAGCGCACTACCTCCTTCCCCCATCCCAGGGGCAGGCCCAGAGGGGGTCCTTGTGCTCCGTTTACAGATGAGGATTCTGGGATCCACAGCAGCCAGGAGCTCCCTCGGAGGCCCCCCCCCCCACCCCCCCCCCACCCCCGCCCAGCACGCCAGCAGCGAGGTTGAGCCTGGCCCTCAGATCTTACAGTTTGATTGCTGAAGGCCTTTTTAGGGCACCACGTGGCCCACCGTTTCCTGGGTGGGGTTTGGTTGTGATGGGGGCATAGCAGGGCCATGGCAATGCATCAGGACTTGCTGAAGGGCGCGGCTCCCAGAACGGGGCTGCAGACAAGGAGCTGCCCAGGCCCACTGGCCCCAGAACTAGGCAGGGCCCTGACCGGAGCTCTGATCTCTCTCAGGCCCCTGATTTCTACGTGGAGATGAAGTGGGAGTTTACCAGCTGGGGTGAGTGGGGACTGCTCGGCTCCAAGGGGCCTGGGGTGGGACCTTAAGGAAAGAACCCTGGTGACCTCTGTGCCCCCTGCAGTGCCCCTCGTGTCCAAGATGTGCCCGAGTGACGTGTACCGTGTGTGGAAGCGGGGTGAGAGCCTGCGGGTGGACACCAGCCTCCTGGGCTTCGAGCACATGACCTGGCAGCGTGGCCGGAGGAGCTTCATCTTCAAGGGCCAGGGTGAGCTCTGGGGGACTCGCCGCGGGCGCCGGAGATGCTCCTGTGGCTTGTGAAGACAGTGCTGTCCTTTCTTTCCACTCTCCAGGTGTGGAAATGGAGGTTCGGGGCGGAGGGGCAGGTGGCTGAGGGCGTCATGATGGGTCCCCATCCACTGCCTCGGGCCTGGCACTGATTTACTCCCCTCTTGCATCCCACTGGCAGAGGCAGGAGCCCTGGTGATGGAAGTGGACCATGACCGGCAGGTGGTGCACACGGAGACGCTGGGGCTGGCCCCTCCTGAGCCGGAAGTGCTGCTGGCCGCCATGCGGCCAAGTGAGGAGCACGTGGCCAGTCGCCTCACCTCTCCCATCGTCTCCACCCACCTGGACACTCGAAATGTGGCTTTTGAGAGGTGAGTTGGGTCTGGCCACACTGCGGGCAGCACCCTTGAGGCTCCTGGTGCAGGTCTCTGGGAGGCTGAGCCACTTGCAGAGGCTACTCAGATGAGGGGGGGGGGCGGTCACTGCAGGCCCAGTGTCCCCCGAAGATTGGTCACCTAAGCATCCTGTGGCAACCTTTAAGCCTGCACCTGTCTGTACTGGCAGCTGACTTCCTGGGGAAGAGGCTAGGTCAGGGTGTCCCCAGTTTCTTGACTCCTGACCTCGCATGTTTTCCCATAAAAACAAGAATTTGGGCTGTGGTTCAGGACAGCTGTTTGCACCGAAGTTGGCTCCTCAGTAGTATAGCTGTGTCTGGGCCAGAGGCCTTTGTGGGCAGCCTAGGAACCTGACTCTTCCGGCCAGAGTGTATTTCTGTGACAACACATGCCCCAGTTCTAACAACAGACTTCAGAAACACCTAAAAGAAAAACCAAACTGTTTTATTAAGATATAATTTTCATATACCATCCAGTTCACCTATTTCAAGTGTACAGCAATTCAATGGTTTTTAGTGCATTCACAGATATGCAACCATCACCACAGTTAATTTTAGGACATTTTATCATCTCAGAAGAAACCCTATATCTTTTACCTATTAATTCCCACCCCCTTATTCCCTCCCCTAGCACTAAGCAACTACTGATCTTTATAGATTTGCCTATTCTGGACATTTCCTATGATATGTTGATTTTTTTAAAAATAAATTTTTATTGACTTCAAAGAGGAAGGGAGAGGGAGAGAGAGAAACATCAATGATGAGAGAGAATCATCGATCAGCTGCCTCCTGCACACCCCACGCTGGGGACCAAGCCCACAACCCCGGCATCTGCCCTTGACCGGAATTGAACCTGGGACCCTTCAGTCCGCAGGCTGATGCTCTATCCACTGAGCCAAACCAGCCAGGGCGATATGTAGATTTTTGTAACTGGCTTTTTTCACGTAGCACAATGTCCTCAAGGTTCATCCAAGTTGTAGCATAAAGCTGCATCATTTTTTATGGCTGAATAGGTTGTATGAATATACCACATTTTGTTTAGTCATTCGTCCATTGACATTCTGATTATTTCTACCTTTTGACTCTTACGAAAAATGCTGCTATAAACAGCAGCACAAATATTTGTCTGGACATATGTTTTTATTTTTGTTGGGTATATACACCTAGGGTAGAATTGCTGGGTCATGTGGTAGCTGGATGTGTAATTGGAGAACTGCCAGGCTGTTTACCGAAGGGACTAGCATTTTCTATTCCTGCCAGTGGTGTATGAGGACTCTAATTTCTCCACATCCTCACTTAACACTTACTGTTCACTTATTTATTTTTGGATTTTAACCATCCTATTGGGTGTGAAGTAGTATCTCACTGTGGTTTGATTTGCATTTCCCTAGTGACTAATGGTGTTGAGCATCATTTCATGTGCTTTTTGGCCATTTGTATATCTTCTTTGGAGAAGTGTCTCTTTAGATTCTTTGCACATTTAAAAAATTGGGTTATCTTTTTATTATTTAGTTGTAAGAGTTCTTTTTACAAATTCTAGTTATAAGTCCCTTATCAGATACATGATTTGCAAATATTTTCTCTTATCCTGTGGGTTCTTTTCACTTTCTTGATGGTGTACTTTGAAGCACAAAAGTTTTATATTTGTTTGTTTTTATTTTTAAAAACCTATAAAGATGGTATCAGTGGCAGCATTTTTATTTTATTTTTTATTTTTTAAAATATATTTTTATTGATTTCAGAGAGGAAGGGAGATGGAAAGAGAGAGAGAAGCATCAGTGATGACAGAGTATCATTGCTCGGTTGCCTCCTGCATGCCCCCGCTGGGGATCAAGCTCGCAACCTGGGCATGTGCCCTTGACCAGAATTGAATCCAGGACCCTTCAGTCCACCGGCCAACGTGACGCTCTATCCACTGAGCCAAACCAGCCAGGGCTGTTTGTTTGTTTTTAAAGAATAGTTTATTGATTTTTAGAGAGAGAGGAAGGAAGAGAAACATTGATGTGTGAGCGCAACATCAATTGGCTGCCTCCCGTACGCCCCCCACCGGGACTGAGCCCGGAACCTGGTCATTTGCCCCGACTGGGAATTGAACCAGCAACCCTTTGTTGCACAGGATGACACCCAACCGAGCCACACCGGCCAGGGTGAAGCACAAAAGTTTTTAATTTTTATGAAGTCTAGTTTACCTGTTTTTCCTTTTGTTGCTTGTACTTTTTGTTTCATATCAAACAATACTTTGCCAAATCCAACCAAGGTCATGAAGATTTCCCCCTATATTTTCTTTTTAAAGTTTTATAGTTTTTGCTCTTACAAACGGTCTTTGATCCATTTTGAGTTAATATTTATATATGGTGGGTTCAATTCCATTCTTTTGCCTGTGACGATTCAGTTGTACCAGCATGATTTGCTAAAAAAACTGTTATTTCCCTCCATTGAATGGTGTGACATCCCCTGTGGAAAATCAACTGACCATAGATGTATGGGTCTATTTCTAGACTCTCTACACTATTCCATGATCTATAGATGTGTCTTTGTCCCAGTGCCACCCTGCCTTAATTGATATTGCTTCGTAGTAAGTTTTAAAATTGGAAAGTGTGAGTCTTCTGGCTTTGTTCTTCTTTCTCGGGATTACTTTGGGCATTCTGATTCCCTTGTAATTTCATATGAATTCCCAATTCAGCTTGTCAGTTTCTACAAAGAAGTCAGATGGGATTCTGATTTGAATTTCAACCATGGCTTCCCAGCTGCGAATTCCCAACCGCAGTTGGTTGACTCCATGGATGCAAAGGGCCAACTGTAGTTAATTTTGGGGGGAGTTGGAAGATACAGATTTTCAATTGCATGGGAGTAGGCACCACTAACCCCTACATTGTTCAAGGATCACCTATATACCTTTTGCACTTCTTTTGATAAATTTAAGTATTTTATTCTTTTTGATGCTATTATAAATGGAATTGTTTTCTTTATTACATTTTTTAATTGCAAATATATAAAAACTAGAGGCTCGATGCATGAAATCGTCAAGGGCCTTGGCCCTGGCCCCCACCTGCCACCACCGCAGCTGGGGGCCTTTGCCGCCTCTGCCGTGGCCCCTGCCTGCTGTGGCTTTGTCTGGAAGGAAGGATGTCCAGAAGGACATCGGTCTAATGAGCATATTATGCTTTTATTATATAGATACAGTTGATCTTTGTGTATTGATCGTGTATTCTGCAGCCTTGCTCATCTCAAACTCATTTTTTAGTTGTAATGGACTTTTAGTGGATTTCTTATGATTTTTATATGTAAGATCATGTCATCATTTAATAGAGTTAGTATTATTTCTTTTTATCCAACCTGTTTATTTTTAATTTATTTTTCTTGTGTAATTGCTTGGGCTAGAATCTCCAGTAAAATGTTGAATGGAAGTGGCAGGAGCAGACATCTCTGTCTTGTTTCTGACCCTGGGGAAAAAGCATTCAGTCCTCCACCGTTAAGAGTGATGTTAGTTGTGGGTGCCCTTTATCAAGTTGAGGAAGTTTCCTTTTATTTCTCCTTTGTTAGGTGTTTTTATTATGAAAGGGCTTGAATTTTGTCAGATGCTTTTTTCTGTGTCTATTGATATGATCATGTAACTTTAAAAAATTCTATTGATATATGTTACATCAATTGATTTTTAGATGTTGAATCAACCTTATATTCCTCTGGTACCAGTGGTTCTCAACCTTCTGGCCCTTTAAATACAGTTCCTCATGTTGTGACCCAACCATAAAATTATTTTCGTTGCTACTTCATAACTGTCATGTTGCTACTGTTATGAATCGTCATGTAAATATCTGATATGCAGGATGGTCTTAGGCGACCCCTGTGAAAGGGTCGTTCGACCGCCAAAGGGGTCGCGACCCACAGGCTGAGAACCGCTGGTCTGGTACAGTCCACTTGGTCGTGGTGTATGATTCTTTTCATATATTGCTAGATTTGGTTGGCTAGTATTTTATATTCATATTAATAAAGAATATTGGTCTGTAGTTTTTTCTTGTGATATCTTTGTCTGATTTTAGTATCTGGGCGAAAAATTCCTCATAGGATAAGTTAGGCAGTGTTACCTGGCCGGTTTGGCTCAGTGGATAGAGTGTCGGCCTGCGGACTGAGGGGTCCTGGGTTTGATTCCGGTCAAAGGCACGCACCTCGGTGGCAGGATCCTCCCTGGCCTGGGCCCTGGTCAGGATGCAACCAATCGATGTGTTTCTTTCACATCGCTATTTCTCTGTCTTCCACTCTCTCTAAAAAATCAATGGAAAAATATCCTCGGGTGATTTCAGAGATGAAGGGAGAGGGAAAGAGAGATAGAAACATCAATGATAGAATCACTGATTGGCTGCCTTCCGCAGGGCCCACGCTGGGGATCGAGCCCACAACGCGGGAATTGAACCGTAGCCTCGACGCTCAGCCACTGAGCTACGCCAGCCAGGCGGTATTAATTCTTTAAATGTTTGGTGGGAATTCATTAGTGAAGCCATCTGGGCCGGGACTTTTCTGTGGGTAGTTATTGTATTGCCACTTCAATCTCTTTACTTGTTACAAGTCTATTAGATTTTTGAAAAATTTGTTTTGGTAGTTTTTGTCCCTTTAGGCTTTGTCCATTTCATCTAAATTATATAATTTGTTTGGGAACAGTTATTCATTTGTATGCTTTTATAATCCTTACTTCTGTAATGTCAGTAACAATGGCCCCTTTTTTATTTCTGAGTTGAGTAATTTGAGTCTTGTCTGTTTTCTTGGCCAATCTAGCTAAAGGTTTGTCAATTGTGTTGATCTTTTCAAAGAACTATCTTTTCGTTTACTTTCTCTATTGTTTTTCTATTCTGTATTTCATTAATTTTCACTCTAATGTTTATTATTTCCTTCCGTCTGCTTGTTGTGGGTTTACTGGGCTCTTTCTCCAGTATCTTAATATGGAAGGTTAGATTATTGATTTGAGATTTCTTCTTTCTTAATATAGTCATTCATAGTTAAGAATTTCCCTCTAGCCGAAACCGGTTTGGCTCAGTGGATAGAGCGTCGGCCTGCGGACTGAAGAGTCCCGGGTTCGATTCCGGTCAAGAGCATGTGCCTGGGTTGTGGGCATATCCCCAGTGGGAGATGTGCAGGAGGCAGCTGATCGATGTTTCTCTCTCATCGATGTTTCTGACTCTCTATCTCTCTCCCTTCCTCTCTGTAAAAAATCAATAAAATATATTTAAAAAAAAAAAAAAAAAAAGAATTTCCCTCTAATCTCTACTTTAACTGTGTCCCATAAGTTTTGATATGTTGTGTCAAAACTTTCATTTCCATCCATCTCAAAGTATTCCCTGATTTCCCTTTTGATTTATTCTTTGATCCTTTGGCTATTTAGGAGTGTGTTGTTTGCTTTCCATATATTTGTGAGTTTCCCAAATCTTTTTTCTGTTACTGAATTCTAGTTTCATTCCATTGTGGTGGGAGGACACACACTGTGATTTCTGCCCTTTACATTTTATTGCGGCTTCTTTTATGGCCTGGCATGTGGTCTGTCCTGAAGAATATCCCATGTGCAGAAGAATGTGTATTCTGTTGTTGGGTGGAGTGTTCTAAGGAAGTCTGTTTAGTCTAGTTTATGGTGTTGTTCAAGTCTTCTATTTCCTTGTTGACCTTCTGCCTGCTCATTCTCTCCATTATTGAAAGGGAGATATTGAAGTCCCAACTATTATTGTTGAATCAGATATACTTTCATTTTCAACTTTTTATTATGGAAAATTTCAAATATTTATGAAAGAAGAGAGAATAGTATGATATGCTCATCACCCAAGTTCAACATTTATTAAACATTTTGCCAATCTTGTTGAATCTATCCTTCCCCCCCCCCCCCCCCCCCCCAGGGCTGTTTTAAAGTACGTCCCAGATGGCATATCATTTCAGCAGTAAATGCCTTTGCACCTGACTCTAACACATAAGGATGTTTTTAAACCCAACCCAACACTATTATCCGACCTAACAAAATGAACAGTAATTCCTCAGTACTTTCCAGTCCCCAGTCCTTGTTCAGTTGTCCCAGCTGTCCAGGCAGCCTCTTCCAGGTCCCTGCATGTTTCACAGTGAGAGGCTGATTGGAGGGAGTCTTTGGAAGGGAAGGCTTTGGCCAGGGTTGGGGGGTGCGGGGCCTCATGAACTCCTGTTTGGTCTGTTTCAGGAACAAATGTGGTATCTGGGGCTGGCGGTCTGAGAAGATGGAAACCGTTAGCGGCTACGAGGCCAAGGCAGGAGAGGCTAGTGGTGGGGGCTGGGGCAGGACAAGGCCCGGGACTCCACTCCTTCTCCTCATCCACCCATATGGAGGGAGAGACAGAGGAGCCGGTGGGCTCTGGAAGCCTGCGCAGCCCTGGGAGCTCAATGGGGCCCAACCACCCAGCCCCCTGCTGACACGTAGAGGTCACCCACATCACGGGCCCCCCACCCAAGTTACTGAGACGAAAGCAGACCATTTTCCTGTTATTAGTGACTTCCTAGGGTTTAGCCCCTGCCATCTCCTCCACTGTGGGGAGCGAGCTCTCATCTGTCCTGGGGACAGGACTTGGGTCCCGTGCTGGTGAGGCTGAGTGTGGGGAACAGGCTCGGAGCCCCCAGCTCCCCCGTAACCCCCCTGCTCCCCAGGTGTACAGCGCCATGAATGTGGAGCTGGTGACACGCACACGCACGGAGCACCTCTCTGATCAGGACAAGTCGAGGAGCAAAGGTAAACCCAGGTGCGCCTGCTGCTGCCCAGTCACACCATGTGGTGGGGTCACCCTGGTCTAGGGGGGCCAGAGTATCCGGGACAAGCTGAGGGGTCACCCCACCCCCGTCGGCTCTGTCTTCCACTTGACAGGAGGCTCCCAGGGTGGACGGTGGGTGGGGGCAACCTGGGGGCAGTGGCCTAAAGTCCCTTCATGGGCTCCCACCCGTCTCCTTAGGGGGGAAGACTCCGTTCCAGTCCTTCCTCGGGATGGCCCAGCAGCACTCCTCCCACAATGGGGTGAGCCAGGGCTGGGGGCGGGGGCTGGGACCGACCGCTGGGCAGGGCCAGGCAGGTGCTGTCCTGAGCGCTAAGCGGGGTCCTGGGGCCCACCAGGTTCCTGTGCAGCAGGCAGCCAGCCCCACCAACCCCACAGCCATTTCCCCCGATGAATACTTTGACCCCAACTTCAGCCTGGAGTCACGGAACATCGGCCGCCCCATCGAGATGTCCAGCAAAGTACAGAGGTGAGGTCCGGGGCTAACTGGGACTTCTGTCGATGACAGGGACCCTGCCTGGTTCCCCTGAGCTCTAACAGACTCCTGTCGCACATGGGCCTACCAGAGGAGGGGATCCACTCACTCACATCCTGCCTGGGACTTGGCCCAGAGGACTGGTCACTCCTCTTTGGTGAATGAGCAAATGAATGAGCGGGCAGCACCACCCATGTATGGTTCTCTATGAAATGTAATGGCACTTGCTGGAGCCAGCTTCAGAGCAGAGTGGAAAGGGCCCAAAGCTCTACCACCTCCTGGCTTCATGGCCCAGGGAACCATCTTCCTCTCCCGGAGTCTGGTCTTCTCAGTAGCTGAGAAGTCACACTTGGGCACTATGAGGGTCTGATGCGCGTGACATAGAGCTCATGACGGGCCCAGCACTGTCCCAGGAACCTCTCTCAGCCGCCCAGTGCATTTGGACCCCAGCAGTCCTGACCTGTGGGCTGTGCTGGCCACCTGTGGGCTGAGGAGGTGGTCAGGGCTGTAGACCAGGCTCAGACTGAAGCCAGCAGCCCAGCCTTGCCCTCACCTAGACGAGCTGAGCTGGCACAAACTACCATAGGCTCCAGCCTGGGCCCAGGGTCTGGGGGCAGCTCGGGCCATAGGACCAGAAGGTCACAAGCTCCTGGAGGAAGCAGGCAGGGGCCGCTGAGGAGAGAAGGGGGAACCCAGGCCAGGCAGAAGGCCGGAGTACAGGCAGGTGTCCGCAGTGGGTGGGCTTTAGGAGAGGGGCCACCAGAGGTTCCTAGACCCACGTCCTGTGGTTGGCTGGGCAGATTCAAGGCAACACTGTGGCTGAGCGAGGAGCACCCGCTCTCCCTGGGTGACCAGGTGACACCCATCATTGACCTGATGGCCATCAGCAACGCTCACTTTGCCAAGCTGCGGGACTTCATCACCCTTCGCCTCCCACCGGGCTTCCCAGTCAAGATAGGTGAGAGGGTGGTGGGGAAGCAGGGAGGCCTCAGGCAGCTGCAGGGAGTGGGGTGGATGTGGCCACAGGGGCCAGGCACAGGTGGGTCTATGGCCACAGTGGCTCAGGCTTGGCTGTCTCCTCACAGAGATTCCCCTTTTCCATGTGCTCAATGCCCGCATCACCTTCAGCAACCTGTGCGGCTGTGACGAGCCTCTGAGCTCGGTGTGGGTGCCAGCCCCTGGCTCTGCTGTCCCAGCTTCAGGTACTGCTCTAGAAGGAGGGGGCCGCACGACTTGCTGGGGTGTGAGTCCTGGGGGCTGAGTGTGGCCCCTCTGTCACCCCAGGGAGCCCTTTCCCATGCGAGGTGGACCCCTCGGTGTTCGAGGTGCCTGAGGGGTACAGCGTGCTGGGCGCAGAGCGCAGCGAGCCCCTCCGCGACGAGGACGACGACCTGCTGCAGTTCGCCATCCAGCAGAGCCTGCTTGAGGCAGGCACAGAGGCGGAGCAGGTGGGGTGCGGGCAGGGCGGGGCCTGGGTCTGGGCAGGGGTGGCAGAGATGACAGCTCTGGGCTCTGGCTGCTGCAGGTGACTGTCTGGGAAGCCCTGACCAACACCAGGCCTGGCACCCACCCTCCGCCCCGAGCCATGGCCTATGAGGAGCAGCTTCAGCTGGAGCGGTGAGTGTTCTGGGACCTACCAGTCCACGTCTCAGCCCTGCCCTGCTTCTGGGCCATGAGGTCCTTGGCTGGTGGGGGTGGTAGCAGGGAGGTGCTTGTCCCAGGACCACCTGCCATGAGCATCACTCCCCAGCACCGAAGGCGGCATGTGGGATGGGAAGACCGGGCCCCACCCTGTCTCTTCTCTCTGATCTCCCAGGACCCAGCCACCCCGTCCTGGTCCTTGTCCTTCAAAGCCATGTCCCAGCCCTTGGCCTCCACCCCCAGCCTTGGTGCTCACCTGCCTGCTCCCCCTCACACCTGTCCTTGAAGGGCCCTCCAGGAAAGCCTGCAGATGTCCACAGAGCCCAGGGGCCCGGGATCCCCTCACAGGACACCCCTGGCCCCGACCCCCGCAAGCTTTGAGGAGCAGCTTCGTCTGGCCCTGGAGTTGTCCTCGCGGGAGCAGGAGGAGCGGGAGCGGCGAGGGCAGCAGGAGGAGGAAGACTTGCAGCGGATCCTGCGGCTCTCGCTCACAGAACACTGAGCGCTGGCTGCCCAGCCCCCGGGAGGGCTGTCCGGGCCACCCCCCACCCGCTTTTGTAACTTATTTATTTATAAACTGTCTGCTGCTGATTTGGGGCCTGGAGCCCCGGGGATGGGCTTGCCTGGGAGACCAAGATGGAAATAAAGAGACCTTCAGCGGCAGGCTTGCTGTGCTCAGTTGGGCGGGAGCTGAGGGGAGACACTGGGTGATGGCGTCAGACCTGGGTCCAGATCTTGGCCGTGGCGTTAGCCGCTCTGAGCCTCCGTTCGCTCGTTTGCTCGGCTGTAAAGTGAGACCACGTTCTACCCGCCAGGGCCGCGGGAGGGAGGACGAAGGGAGCCAGCGTGTGCCAAGTACCCGTCCAGAGTAGGTGCCTCAAAAATTCCCTGAGCCCTGTGCCACCTCCCGAAGACCCAGGCTCCTCCTGCCACCAGCCTGGCTTCCCCAGGACCCACTCGTGCTCCTGTCGAGGGGGCAACACGGAGCCTGCAGACTCCACTCCCGGCCAGAGCCCCCTGCACCCCAGGCCTGCGCTCCTGCTCTGACCCCGACACATTCTATGGACAAGTCACTTCCCTCTGCACCCGCTCAGCCCCACCCCGCTCACCTGGGGGGGGGGGGGCTGAGGACCCCCACGAGCCTGTCTCCAGCGATTCTCGCAGGGTGGGAGCATGAGGGCCAGCCGGCAGGAGGAAGATGTTTGGGGGGCCCCCAACTTAAGACCCGCGGTGTCCGATCCTCTCTGAGACCTGTGCCCCCCAGTCCGGCCTTCCCCGGGACCCACCTTGGCTGCGTAACAGAACCTTCGAGGCCCAAAGCAGAGTCCAGGTGCCCTAACTGGGCGGGGCGGGGAGGACCGGGCTGGGGCGCTTCCCGGGAGGAGGGGCCGAACCTCCCCTGCTCCGCGGCCGCCGGCTCCTCACCTGCGCTCCGCCCCCGGCTCCGCCTCCACCGCGCTCGGGAGGCGGGGGCGAGGCGGGCCGCACCGGGAGGCCGGCGGGGCGGGGTGGGGCGGCGGCCCGGCGGTGCCGGCTGCGCAGGCCGGGCTGGACGGGCGCCTGGCCCTTTAAGGGCCGCCCCCGAGGAGGTGCCAGGCCGGGTGGCTCTGGTCTCTCCTTCCTGGTCCTGCTGGGCAGGGACTGTCCGTGTGGCCGTGGGCGGGCTCCGTGCCTGGTGCCGGCCCAGTGCCCCTGCCTGACCCCATGGCGCTGGTCACAGTGAGCCGCTCGCCCCCGGCCAGCGGCCACTCCACGCCGGTGGGGCCCTCGGTGAGTCTGGCTTTGCTGCGGTCCCGCCCGCGGAGCTGGCTGCCAGCGGGGCCCGGGGAGCGCGTCCTGCCGACGGGGCTGGAGGTGTGGGAGGGGGACCCGAGGTCTCAGCTGGGGTGGGGGGGCTGGAGACCCCCGGAACTGTGACCCCGGCAAGACGGAGCTCTGAGCGCCAGACCAGCCGGTGGAGGCCCATCTCCGTGGCCCCGATGTGGGCCAAACGCTAGCACCCCGCCCACCTGTACCCCCTGCTGCCCTACCTGGCCTGGCCGGGCTCCCCCAGTCCTCCGGTGGGGGGGAGACTGGGGCAGGAGGGGTATCTGACACCTTTTCTGGTTCCACTCCCCGCAGGGTTGGGGGGTCGGTGGGGGGGCGGGTTCCCCCAGCCCAGCACCCCCTAACTCCGCGCTGGGGGCTGCTGCTTTCCCCGCAGGACCAGGCCTCCAGGCGGCGGAGCCGGCTCCAGCGAAGGTGAGCGCCTCCCGCAGCACAGATGCCTCCATCCCGAGCTCAGGGGATGGATGTGATGGGCAGCGGGTCTGTATGGGCGCCAGCCGCTGCCCTCCTGGAGGGCCCGCAGCCCAAGCCGACCACCGGATCTGTGGGGCAGTGCTGCCGGGGGCATGGCTGGCTGGCGCTTCGCCTTTGCTTTCATCTTTCCCGGATCGTGTGGCGTTCCTTCACCCATTATGCCAGACTAGTGGCCACAAGCCCAAGGGCAAGATGGGAGGACAGGGCCTGAGGATCCTGGGTCCCCGTCAAGTTCACAGTGTCCTTCGAGTTAGGCGGGTGGAAAGAAAAAGGGAGCAACGCTCAGGTTGGGGGCCACAGAGTGTGGGGGCCACACCCCCAGGGCACTCGTTGGAAATTCACGTTCTCAGGTCTCCACACTCCCTACCTGCTGACGCAGCCCCGATGGGCCCAACGCCCGTTGTAATGGTGATTCTGATGTGCCCCTGTCCTGAGAGGTACAACAGGCCAAAACGGTTCCCCCTGCCCTGCCAGGCAGAGCTTTGCAGTGCTCCATGGGGCTGTCCTGGGACTGCAGGACGGAGGGGACAGTGGAGATGCAGCTGAGCCCGGCCCTCGGCCTGCGGAGGAAGCCTCGGGCGAAGAGCAGCTCCACGCGGACCAGACAGACGATGGGCATGGGCCCCAGAGTCCCCAGAAGCAGGAGCAGAGTCAGCACCTCCTCCTCATGGTGGAGCTGCTGAGGCCGCAGGACGACATTCGCCTGGTGAGGGGCCCTCTTGGAGGGGGACGAGAGTCCTTCCTGGGGTGGGAGGAGGGAGGGCAGAATGGAGCCGGTGTGTCTCTGGGAGCAGTGGTGTGAGGGGCACTCTGGGGAGTGAAGGTTTACTAATCCCTGACAGCCGGGTTGTTTAACAGGGAGAGCCTATCTGCAGGTGTCTGGAGGGCTGGGAAAGGACAGGGAGGTTTGTTCTGCATGAGCCTGTAGGGCCCAGTTAGGCCCAAGAGCTGGGATTACACAGGGACAGGCTTCTGTGCAACCACAGCAAGACCTTCCTAACAGTGGGAGCTGCCCATAGTGGGCCGGTGCTCAGGGAGCCTGCCGAGCGCCCACCAGGAGCTGGAGGGCCCGTGGGTGGTGGGACACAGGTGGGAGTGCGAGGACTAGTCCCCAGGTGCCTGTGGGACATCTCACTACAGCAAAAGGAGAAAGAGAAGGTGCAGCCAGTCTTGTGTAGAACTGAATTTACTCCACGGAAACACCGTCTTTTATGGTGAGATTGTGTCCTTCCTATTTCTTTGGTAAGAAATATCTCTTGAATGAAATGATGGTAATGGCAAGTGAAAGGGTTTATTTTAAACCTCCTTCCCGGGCAAAAATAAAAAATGGGCAACCTTTGTCAGGTCCCTTCTCCCCTTTTTCCACACACACACCCTTTAAGGAAAATCTTTTAAAACATTTTGTTAGACCATAAAATTCAAAAGTTGGGAACCCCTGGAATGTAACCACTGACCTGAGGTCTGGGAAGAAGGGGGTGGCATGGAGGGAGCAGACAGCGGTCTGTTCTAGGCCCAGGTGTGTGTCCTGGTGAGGTGGGCAGGGTCCTCGGGGCCTATGACCTGGGATTCTCTCTTCCCACGTCCCCCAGGCAGCCCAGCTGGAGGCAGCACGACCCCCTCGGCTCCGCTACCTGCTGGTAGTTTCCACAAGAGACCCCGCGAGCCAGGATGAGACAGTCCTCCTGGGAGTGGACTTCCCCGATAGCAGGTGGGAGCAGGGAGAGGAAGGGAGGGGGGCGAGGAAGTGAGGTGCTGGGGGACAACGGCTTTCCCTCTGTCCTGCCAGCTCCTACAGCTGCACCCTGGGCCTGGTCCTGCCTCTTTGGAGTGACACGCAGGTGTACCTAGATGGAGATGGGTAAGAGATGGCAACTGGAGGGCGGTGAAAGGAGAGAGGCAGAGGGTGTGATGCATATGATGGAGAGGTGGGGCCCTGGGGAGCTGCTGCGGAACTCCAGGCTGGGTGTCTGAGGCCTGGGCCTACTCTCAGCTCGACCTCAGATTTACTGTGTGGTCCTGGGCAAGTCACCTAACTTCTCTGGGCCTCAGCTGCCTCAGATCTGGCAAAGGGGGCTTATTTTGAAGCTCAAATGTGTACATATTCTGAGGACCAGCCTCATGAGGTGTCTAGTGGGTGCGCCTCTCAGGGGCTCTGTCCCGGGGCCCGGAGTGGGGTTCCACTCCTCCCTGCTCTCCCTCAGGGGCTTCAGTGTGACGTCCGGTGGGCAGAGTCGAATCTTCAAGCCAATCTCCATCCAGACCATGTGGTAAGAGCTGGGGTAGTCCAGCCTCAGCGGGCCTCTCCTCAGAGACGGCTGCAGGGTCCGGGGAGGGGCAGCAGGGAGGACAGTGTGACCCAGCCTCTCTTCTGTCCCAGGGCCACACTCCAGGTATTGCACCAGGCGTGTGAGGCGGCTCTGGGCAGTGGTCTTGTGCCAGGGGGCAGTGCCCTCACCTGGGCCAGCCACTACCAGGACAGACTGAGCTCGGACCAGAGCTGCCTCAACGAGTGGATGGCCATGGCTGACCTGGAGTCTCTGCGGCCTCCCAGTGCGGAGCCTGGCCGGTCAGTACAGGGAAGGGAGGAAAGGGGGCGGGGGGAGTCATGGCAAAGCAGCGAAGGGGCCCCCGGACTGATGGGCTCGGCTCCCAGGCCCTTGGAACAGGAGCAGATGGAGCAGGCAATCCGGGCCGAGCTATGGAAGGTATTGGACACCAGTGACCTGGACAGCATCACTTCCAAAGAGGTGGGCGGGGTGCGGGGCCTGGGAGGAAGCGGGGCTCGGATGGGGGGGGCGGAACCCGCGGGCTGGGAGCCAGCGTTCTCCTCCCCTTGGAGTCTCCCCACCCAGCTCTCCTGTCCTGAGCCAGTCCCGGATGCGTGGCCTCGGCTCCTTGAATAGATGGGACGGGACGGGTACCGTCCCCAGAAGCCTGGAGGGAAGGGTGGGGCATCAGGAACCTCTCCTGTCCTTCCTGCCTGCAGATCCGCCAGGCCCTGGAGCTGCGCCTGGGCCACCCTCTCCAGCAGTACCGCGACTTCATCGATAACCAGATGCTGCTGCTCATGGCGCAGCGGGACCGGGCCTCCCGCATCTTCCCCCACCTCTACCTGGTGAGCTGCGGGGTGAGGGCGGGAGTGGGACAGCTGCAGCCGCTGCGGCGGGGGAAGAATGATGCCCCTCTCCCTGTCCGCAGGGCTCGGAGTGGAATGCAGCGAACCTGGAAGAGCTGCAGAGAAACAGGTAGGTTCCGAGCCCCCCAGGACTGCCCGTAGCCTGTCACCCCCCTTGCCTGGCCTCCCCTCAAGGGGCCACCTGGTCAGAACCCCCAGACGCCCCTCAGCAGCTGCTAACTCAGCT